TGCTGATAAGCTTTAGAGCAGGAACTCATTTTCTTTGTGTAGTAGTCTGCTGTCTGTGCTTTTGGATTTCATCCCCATTTTCTTTACCTAGTTCTTTGTCTTTGCCAGTTATATTCTGTATGGACAACAGACTTCTTTTCTTAGCATAGTCCTGTCCTTTTAGGATCTTCAGTGAAAATACTACGTAGTTGCATGTAATGCTGATCTTCAAGGTATTCTGATTGTATAAGCTTCCTATATTGCAGTGTCCTTGCTCTGAAATTGTTACAGATCACAGGAGGCTTGGCACCAGATTTCACAATATATAATCCTGAGTTTTCCTTCCCTGCTTTCTCCTAGGAACATCTTTTTTTTCTGAAAAAATTGGTGGGAGAAGCCTGGCTTTCTGGTTTCCCAAATACCACGTGTTAAAAATTGTACCCACTGTTCTCTGAAGATTCACAGAAGATTTGAAGAATTCCTGTTTGGGGACTTAATCTGGTCTGTTTGGTGAGAACTGGAATAGTGACAGTTTTGTTTTTCTTTGCAGTTTTGGAGAGTTGGCTGGATTATACAGGAGAGCTGGAACCACCAGAACCACTAGCTCGACTCCCACAGCTCAAACATTGCATAAAGCAGCTCATAACGGACCTAGGCAAGGTGCAGCAGATTGCGCTTTGCTGCTCAACATGAGACCAGAAGATGTTGGAGACTGTTACTGAGTGTGGAGCAACGGATGCAAACAGCTCTGTATATTTAAATGAAATTAGCATGCTGGTTGCATGTGGTGCAGATTGACTTCAGGGATCTGTGAAGAAGTGCTGTTCAAGGAACAGAAAAAAGCTTATTTTATCTCATCATAATTTTGGGTTTATTAGACAATTAAAACGTTAAGGAAGAGGTTATACTGTTGTCTTCAGAGGTTGGGTGTTGGTTGATAAATTATACTTAAATTTTTACTCCTTAAAAGTTGCTCATTTTAAATGGTACACTTTTCATAATTAAATTGACTAGAAATGGTGCCACTGAAGAACAGAGTTCTAAGAGCCAAAAATGTTTAGTTGACAGAGGTTGTAAATAACTTTGCATAGTTTAAGTGACTTGAGTCATGGTTTATTCCTTCTGGTTGATGCATTATAGCACACAGTATTTAACCGTTAGGAAATGTCGTAACAGTTTTCAGACTTAGTAAGTATGAATGTCCAGCTCTTAGCTATAAACTCTTACATGGAGACTTGCAAGTAACAGTGGCCTCAACCCCACTTCTATGACATTAAATAGTGTAGCAGAAGGTCACCGGGGTATTGCTCTTATTTTCGGAATAAAGGATTGTTTTCCATGTCTGTCCTGTCACTCTCACATAACTTGGTACTGCGGAAGCCGTTGACGTTGTGTTCGTGTGCGGTCTTGAGCTCCTCAGCCCGGCTGTACTGTGCCTCCCGAGGCGGTGGTGGTGGGCACCCGTGTGCGAGACACAGTCGTGAAGACCTGGAGATGCACGTGGAGAGCCAGACTTCGGGAAGGTCTGTGGTGGACGTGGTGTCGTTTTCTACCCGTTTGTTAATAATTGCCATCCCGGTTACATTTTGAAATGGAGACTTTTTTCAGGACTCTGAACATGTCCATTGTAAAGACTTTATGAATGTGTGGTTTTGGGAAACAGTTCATTTTATATTTGTGTAAATAAAGCCTCAAGATCTATGCATGAGGTACTGTCCTCGCAGACAGTGAGTGGGTTATTATCTTAAACGGTGTCTGTTCACAAGGTCCCTTTTTATACCTTCGGTTTTAATTTTCTGGTTTGTATCACTTTGTGAGAGCAAGGTGAAAATGCTGCTTATGTTCGAGTCACATTACACAGAACCTCTTGAACCATTGGTGTATTTGTAAGTGTTTGAGATGTTAAAAGTCTCTTCAGCTGCAGATCATGGCTTCAAAAATAATGGCTAATAAATGACTAAAGAGTTTTCATTCCCAGATGTTGCTAAGAGTTAAGTTCACTGTGCAAGATGGTTAAGCTGGTTTTGCAGTGAGGGTGTCCTTGAAAAGCTGGATTTGTTACCTTGGTTTTATTTTCTGTGATGGTACCACCCAAGGGTAAAAAAACTGAAGCACAGTTGTAATTGAAAGGCCCATAACTGTACAAATTATTAATTTTGGATGTGCATCTGTAATGTTTGTATACTGCAAAGAACAATGTAAATTTGAAATATCCAATATTATTGTAGGAGTTAATGATATCTACACAGTGAATATTTTTATTTCATTCAGAAAGTAAAATAATTAGGCTACTCTAGGTAGTAACTAAGGCTTTTGTGCCAAGACTCATTTCAGGGAATAATTTGTCTCACAGTTTTATAGTACTAGTTGGTGTATAGTGAATACAACATATGTACAGCAGAAAAATAAACTTATTTTTCTGTAACACAATTGGGATAAAGCTTACATGGTATTTAAGACTCACTTTGCTCTCTGAAGATGAGAGCGATGCTTATTGCCTGAATTCACAGCAGCTCCGGAGCCCGTGGCCGTAACCAGACAAGTAGAGCAGCAGCAGGAGCAGCCCGGGCGGCCTGGGAGGCTTTGGTGTTGATTCCAGGTGAGGCTGCCCAGAAGGGGAGCGGGCGGCTCCCAGGGACACGGCTGTGTTGTGCTGTCAGAAGTCGCTGTGCTGATGGTTTGAGGGCTGAAAGCCGCTAAATTCCTGAGCAGACTTTTCACTCCGGGGTGGGATTTCTCCTTCCCAAGCAGTTGCGTTCTCTGCGTTCATTGTACGTTTTCACTTTGCCGGTTTATTTTTGCTCAGGGCAGTAGTTAAGATTTGGAAGACGATGGTCTGATGGCTGAATCGACAAAGACTGGAGACTTGTTTTGTTTTAGTAGAGCTCGGGAAGCCCTTGCAGATAAAGACTGAAAAGTATTTATTTAAAGTAGAATAGCATTTCTCATGTTCAGGAAAGACTCCTTGTGCTCTGCCTGGATTCTTCTCTGTCCCTGTTTTTGCAAGTTTCCACATTGTTGTTTCTTGGTCTGGACCTGCTGTGTGGTCTGACAGGTCACTGTTTTATTTCTGTAAGTCACTGGTGAGTGAATGCAACATGGAGCCTTGATGAGATGAGCAAAAATTGCACTGTGGATGCATTGGTATATTTGTCTTTGTTTATGCACTATTAAAACCAAGGGCGCTGTATATGGAATTTTGCTTTGGAGCAACATTTGCAAAACTTGAAAACTTCTGTATCTTGGTGTTTGGAATAAATAAATAGGGTTTTGTTGGTTAAATCTTAGTAAAGTCTTTGTTTCAATTAATGATTATTCAATAAAATAATTTTGGACTTTTTTCCTTCACATGATATTGAAATGCAGGCACTGTAGTTTGACAGGAATGGAAATGGTTGTGTTCCAGGTCTGTCTCATATAAATGTTCTCAGTTGTAAACCGTCACGCGTTAATGCAGCGGAAGGAGCTTTTGATGGATCTGAACAGTCCATGCGGAGAGAAACGCACAGGCATGGGAGGTGCTGGAGAGGAAAGTGCCTGGCACCGGGCATGCCCCAGGGCAGGGCTGGGCAGCAATGTGCCCTTCGGATGCGTTCTGACTCCATGTCTTCTGCTCCCGGTGTTCCCCAGCGGAAGGAAAATCAGTTTATTCTCTTCTAAGAAATTGCCCTTTCTGACTTTCTTCTTAAAACAATTCCTGCAGAACTCACAGATTTAGGCCAGAGGGCACATTGCATTGAAGCCTGGAGAAGCTTCTGCCACTGACGGGCAGGTCCGGGGGTGTGTTTCATGGTTCAGTCAAATTGTGTAGGTTTTGCTGACCACTTCAGTGTCAAAGGCAGGTTTTGAAGATGTGTTCTGGATTTGAAATAACGTACTACAGTGTGTGCTGTGGGTAGCCGTGTTTCTGGGATTGTGTGCCCTCTGGTTTGAGCTCCTCCAAGCTCCCTATTTTACTGGCTTGATCTTCGGATTCATGCAGGGACAGACTTGTCAGGAGGTGTTTGCTAAGTCATCTGTCAGCCTTCGTGTGGGTAGAATCACCTTGAAGTTCCTCAGCCTAAGAAATCTGACACAACCATTTTAATATTCCAAATGTAATTTGACCAAAATAACATGTATAATCACTAATTTTTAAATACATATACACACATTAAAAAACACACATTTATAAAATAACAAATATGTCTTCTAGTGACACAGTCTGCTGTTGGTCGTTGTCCAGACCTTGGATCTCGCTCACGCTGAGCCTGATGCTGAGCATCATCCCCGCTGCTGCGGCGCTGGCGTTTCATCAGGCGGTGACAGCACAACCAGCTTGGTGTGGTTTTCCCAGTGGCGTTGTCGAGCACCTCAAGCTCAAGGTTACGCAGACAGTCATACTCTGCCGCAGGGGACACCGAGGTAAGGACCTGCTTGTGGAGTGGGGCTGCTCTGTACCCTTGTGTGACAATTGCAGTGCTGGTTTGCTGAATGGCACACTGACTTGAGGCTCCAGAAACGGCTGTGTCCTCCAAATAGCAGTCCAAGGCTACTGCAGATACTTTGGCTCTTTTGCAGCGCCTCCAGGTACTTCCAGAAGTCCCTTTGATCCCAGCAAATGCTTGGTGGCTGCTCTTGTGAAAGATGCTCAAACAGTTTGTGGTGTGTGAGGGGGCAGAACGTTGGCTTGTATGGCAAGGTTGCACATCCAGATGTCCCTGAGTGCTTGTCACTGAAGATGAAGTCTGTGACAAAGCACTTGGAGGTCACTACTGGCCATGGCACGGCTGATCCGGCCAAAGTGGCCACAGCTCTGCATGCAGTGTGCCCCAACACATGGCAGAGAGGAGAGCATCCAAAGAGCTCCTCTTCCCATCACTGTTCTGGGCACTGGGAGCACCTCTGGTGAGGATGGAGCCAGTCCCTGTCCCTGCTGGGTCTCCATGGCCACCTTCCCTTGGTGGCAGGTCCTCTGCTGCAGGGCAAGTTCTGTCCCTTCGCCATCTTTGACTGCCTCTGCCTTCCCCTGTCTGGGGTGGGAGATGTGTGGACCTGTGCTCTGCCTATTCCAGCTGGTAAAGACCTGTGCCCTCTGGTGCTGTGGTGGTAGTGGGAGGGTGGGCACCCTGGGATCCCCCCAGCAACCTCTGCTGCCCGGATGCTCCTGCACTGGGGGAGGCTGTGGAGATGCTTCCCAGCACGAGTGAAGTGTGCCCAGAAAAAGGAGCTTTTGGGTCTGGGAAGGAGTGGAGCTTGGAGGCTGCTGGCACTGGGGCAGGATTCGAACAGGCTTTCCAGGCAGGGGTTTTCCTGTCTCCCAGGAAGTGGGAGTTCATGCACAAACTTTCTTGTGGTTATCACTGCACGTCCAGCAGGATCCTGTTCTGTGGACCTTAATCCTAGTACAAGCCATGTGTTAAAAGGTTTAAAAATCAGCTGGTTGGGGTGCAGTAAGAGGTTTGTTTTCTCCCAGCTGCTGTTCTGCTGGTCCCAGTGAGCAGAGCAGTGAGTGATGTGTGGGTGGGAGCACGAAGGTCTGCGCCTGCTGCTCACAGCCCCCATCCCACACAGACACCCCATCCCAATAAAGTTTGTGCATGGACTTGAGGGATCTGAGGGGGCTGGTCTGTTCCCTCACCTGGGCATTGCATCCCATTTTCCTGCTATGGTGAAGCACAGATGTGGCAGGGCCCAGTTGCAGCCCGTGGGGCGGGCACAGCTTCTTCTGCGGGCGCTGGGTGATGCTCTGGGTGCGCAGCCACCACATCCCAAAGCTCCTGGCCTTGGGGAGCATGGGCCCTTGGGCAGCCCCTTCCTCCTCCCTGCCTCTCCCCACCTCAGTCTCTGCTGTCCCATGTCCAGGTCAGCAGCCCCCAGGGCCCGACTCCCACGGCATCAACAAGCAGTCATGGCTGAAACCAGGCAAAGGCTGTAAGGAGGGCCGGGCATCAGTTGTGGGGCTGGGGCCGAGCAGAGCCCTGCTCTCAACTGCTCTTCGCCTCCTTCCCAGGGGCAGCTGTCTCTGTCAGGAGGAGGTAGGAGCTGATGGCTTCCCGCAGGCCCAGGCTGATGGGAGAGTCCTTCTCCCGGGGAGATGTGGCCTCCGAGAACAGGGGGGAGCTGTGCAAGGGTGGATGGGGTGGTCAGCAGGCAGCCCCCAGGTGTCTGTTGGGGTGGTGGAGGCAGCCCAAGCCCTGCCTCAGGTGTCCCTACCTGTCAACCTCGTCCCATTTGAGTGATGGCTGCTTCGTGACACTGGGCATGGCAGGGGCCGGGGCCACCCTCACCCCTTCCATGGAGCAGGGCTCCCTGAGGATGCAGCACAGCCCCTCTCCGAATTCTGGGCAGGGACCCAGCAGCGTTAGCAGGGAACCCCCCACCTGCACCCCAACCCTGGGGGCACCCCAGAGGGTGGGGGACAGGCTGCTACTGTCCCCCCCTCCCTCCCTGTGGGTCCCCCACACTCAGACTGGGGGGCTGGCAGGGTATTACCAGAGTAGTGGTCCACCAGGTCTTGGAGACTGGGGAAGGTGAGCCCAGGCGAGATGTAGAGCCAGCCGTTCTCCAGGCGGTGGATGCGATAGTGAGTCACCGAGTCCCAGGAGGTGCGCTCGCCGCGGCGCACGGACAGCGAGTAGCAGCCTGCCAGGGCACCCACCCTGCTCAGCCCCACTGCCCTGTGCTTTTCCACACTGTGGATTTTTATCACCTCACGGAGGTGGCTGCCATCCCCATGCCATGAGCACCTCCAAACTGGGAGACGTGGCTCTGCCGGGACCTGG